AAAAAAAAAAAAAAGACCAGGTTTGCTGGTCATATAGAGCTTGGTGTGAGACTCCTAAGATTATGGCGCCTAGCCACCCTTCAGGTCTGAAATTGAACGCCTGTGGCTTCCAGCCAAACAGTAGACCAGCATATGGGATGAACAGTTACATCAGGTAGATACATTCCCTGGAGCAGTCAATCATGGGAGAACAGAAGGGCAGCCTTTGCACAGGGAGACAGCTCAGGGGGCAGAAGCATCTGGGAGGGAAGGATACAGGGAAGAGGTAGCTATGGGGAGGAAGTGGGAAGAGAGTTGTTACATTGTAGAGAATTGCAGTCAATGTCTTGAGACAAAATGTGTATGAACTGCTGTATCAGAAATGAATTTGCTCTGTAAACTTTCACCCAAATCAAAATCAAAATTTTTTACAAAGAAATAAAACCCTTCAGAAGGTATTTCAAAAAAAAAGAAAGAAAATATGAGTCATTTGGTTGTCTTTACTTTGTTTGGGAATGGAGTGAGAATAAGACAATGAGACAATAGTTGGAGTTCCTTTCTTCACCAGATGAATTTAAGAATGGAAAAGAAAGTTGGAGGAGGAGAGAAGGCACAGAGACTAGGCTGTTTTCATGGGTGTTCTTGAAGGGCTTTGGGGGTCACCAAATTGAGATTAGGAACAGTTATCCTAGTGGAGGGAGAATTTGAACTCCTTCCAAACCTTTACAATTACTTGAACTTGAATTTGGAGTTGTGAAGAAAGTGCTTGTCTCTAGCCTCTGGTGTATTAGCTAAGTTTAAATTGGGATTTGTACTCAGTGTAGTAGCTACCTTAATATTTAGTAATTATAGATTTAAAAAAGTTGACCAAAACTAAATAATAATTTTAAAAGCATCAGTTGTTCATAGTACATTTCTTGAGTATCTGTTAAATGCCCACCGCAAAGAATACGTAGATTAAATAGTTTCTACCCTGAGAGTGCACTGTAGTGGCGATCAGAGACATCTATGTAATTATAACACTAGTAGAAGCTATAATGTGGATACCACTCCTTTCTGTGTTTTTTTATCCGTAGTGTTTTTGTTGATGGCAGGAGAGGAAAGTCCAGAAAAAATTTTTTGAATTCTAGAAAAGCTTATATACAGTGTATTTTGAAGTAGTATGTATTTTATTTATTCGTGTTGGCATTAAAAACTCTCAGCAGAGAATTTAGTTTCTGGTCTGTCAGGGTATAGGTCCCTCCCTGATAGCTGTACTGATTTACTTTGACCAACCAACTTTAAAATAGAGATGTATATATAGGTAGTGACCAGAAGAAAAAAAAAATTTCATTTATTGAAGTTATGAACCTAGACATTCTAATAAGTCAACCTACCTTTATTTCATGGGTCATTGTGCTTTTCATTTAGTCATTATGTGTTCTAATTTTTTAGTCAGTTATGGGAAATACGTTTTCTTGGACAAATAGTGAAAGCTTATTTCTACTAAGTTTATGTTTAATAGAAAATTGTCTAAAATAAAGCTGTAAGGTAGAGAATGACACAAGTAGAGATTCAGAAACATAGGTACAAATGGTTAGGAGAGCTAGAACTCTTCTCAGTTTTAGTATTTATGAGTGTACGAAATTCAACTGCCTGTGAATTACTTGATTTGTGGTTTTATCTGCTGTGTTTTTAGTACCATCTCGACTTCCTTACCGTTACTTGAGCTGTTTACAGGGATTGCAATATATTCAGAACATAATTAATACAAAATTAGGAAATGAAATATTGTCTAAAATAATAAATATTCAATGATCTGCTATTGGATTTTGCATGTTAGTGTTTCTCTTTCTTGGTATAGAGTATAATCTGTAAATGCAACATGTGACTTTCCCTCCTGCTTATTTTCCCCGAAATAAAAATGACTGGTAAAATTGTTTTATTTTTTTAAATAGAAGGGGTTTGAAACAAGTGGACTTTGCTGTGCTTTCTATTGATTGTAAGATCATATAATGCAGGAAAGATAATTACCCACAGTTTTGAGACCACCAAATGCAATGTTGGGCCTGTCAGAAAGATTGAAGAAAGAGCTATATTTTGACACCTATTCCATGGTTATTATTCCAATAATGGTGTACAGTATATCTGTGGTATTAAAATTTCATGGGGAGTGTTTAGGAGAAAGTATCTAAAAATAATCTTGTTGTGGCGAGCGGAGGAGGATGGGGAAAAGGTTGAGAAACATTACCTTTAAAGAGCTAATAGAATTTTGGTCATTTTACTACTACTCATCTTATTTTTGAGTGCTTTCTCTTTGATTTGGCAGCAGTTACATATCAAGTAGAGCATAAATCTCCATAAAATCTTAAGACAATACCTTGGCTTTAGAATAGTTGTAGGTAGTAATTTAGAACAGTAAGGGGACCAAAAAAATTGCTTAATGAATATATGACCAACTTTTAAGAGCTGTTGCTTACTCAAAGTTATGTACAGCTCTATTGGTGATTAGCTGCTGTGTATGAAAAGCATATAGTTAACACTGGGCAGCATTTGGTATCTAAAATAATTAGAGGGGTATAATGCTGATATTTTCATGTTTTTGAATGCCATTAACATTTTTTATAGGTAATAATTGAAAGCCCTCTGTGCATATTTATAACTTGACAATTGTTGGCCTTTTCTCTTTGACAAAGTGGAAACTTTTTTCAGTAGACTTTCAAAACTCACTTGCCTTATACATGATTTGTGATAATACATTTTCATAATTTCTGAATATGAGTGTTTCCCCACAATTAGAGTAGGCACAGAAAGTTGAATGTGTTCTGTATTTTTTTTTTTTTAATACGCAGAGTAGGGTGATGTGGTGAATCTAAATAGGAAGATTACCGATACTACAAAAGAGTATGTGCATTGAGTTTCATTTTTGGTAATGGTGGCAAATGTATTCAGATTCATTAATATTTTTTCACCAAGTCCAAATGCATACCATTGGGGCTAGGAGTACAGGCTGTGTGGCCTTGGAACAGAGTGAAGCTAACTAGTCCACATGGAGATCAAACCCCAGGACCATGGTCTCAATTAGCATCACACTTCAACCATTTGGAAGCAATCCAACTACCAGACAAAATGGCTGATCCTAATATTGGTAGAATCATGTCAATATGGAAAATTGGTTGATGTCAACATAGGAATTCATGGACGGACAAAAATAGTAAGTGATTGTAATGCACAAGGTTAGTGTAGCTGCAATTATGTTTGTAAATTTCTTGTCTACTTATGTAAATCTTCTCATAAATTGACAACTAATGAAAAATCAATGTATTAACTTATTTTTTGTAAGTGAAAGTATAAATTTAAATACATTCATGTTAGTCCTGTCGTTAATAACCCTTGCATTCTTTTTTACTCTCCCTCAGACCACATATTGTGATTATAGTCTCTGCTGAGAAGGATGGAAACACAGCTCCCTTTGAATAATAATAATAATTCTACTTGATGTACAGACCGGATTGCAGGAGAGTTTAAAGTGTCCACTACCCCTTATGGGAAGCTTTTTAGGTCCTTAACTGTATGGAACCACTGTGCTGCAACCGCATCACCTGCAGCTTCAGCTATACTGAAACTTCATAACCAAACTCACCCTCCTTTTTCCTGATTTTTATTGTCACTGCAATTTGAGCATGCTATTTTGTTTACCAAAAACTCAATTTTTAAATATTTTGGTATTGCTATACAAACAAAATTACGGCATTATTCAGTGACTTGGAGTCTTAGTCTCTGCCCATTCTAAAGATGGCTTTGTTCTCTAAATGACCTGGAGATCTTATTACATAAGTCTTATAGATATATTCTATCTCATAATAAAATTAGTATCTAAAGATTCTTTTATCTAATTAGTAAATTGGATAACTCAGTTTGGCAGAAGATTACCTGAGGATGACTTTACAAAATTCAATTTCCTTTGGCTATATGTATAATTGGCATTTCTCCTAAGTTTTTTTTTTTTTTTTTTTTTAATCTTATTATGGTTCCCTTCTAAATAACAAAACAATAGCCATGTTCTCTTGGGGCCTGTAAAAAATATTTTGTTGACCTGTCTGTTTAGTCTTATAGTAAATGATTTCTCTGGGTCATTCTCTGACCATGTAATAGCTACTCCCTAGAACTTTTAGCTCCTTGAGTGCCATTGTATAACAGTTTTTCCTTAGTAAATTGTATTAACAGGTGAGGATCTGAATTTTGTCTGAATGCTTTTAAGTTTGTTACTTTGTAATTGTCTCCCTTTTTCCCTTACTACTTAACTCCAGTGTTCTACCTTGTAAGAATAAAACAGTTACTTAATAAAACACTGACTCAGGTACTTAGTGGTAGAAGGACTACCACTTAGGTAGGGGGAAGGGAGGAGGATAAAAGTGGAGCTTTTCCTCTGCTACATGAATAGTCAAGCCTGTGTCCAATAATGGTACCAAAGCCAATTTAAGTGGCATTGAATTTTCTGCCAATACCTACATTTCATTATTCTTTCTGATTATTTACAAATTCTTCCATTTTTCTCGTGCTCACTTTTCTTGTTTCTTTTCCATTTTCCTCCTCTTGCTTGCTTTTCATTTAGGCATGTAGGTGGCAACCCACTAGCTTTGCTTTAATTCTGCTGGTGATACTCAGTGGCAACGCTTTACTATATCCTAATTCATACCACTTTTGCTAATTTACTTGACTAGATATCTAAGAAGTCAGGTAAGCATTAACTCTTTGTAGACTGGAAATAATGAAACTATTACAAGATGAAAAGTAGGATAGTTTTACCTGTATTTTATTTGTTCTCTTTCCCTTGTTCATTTGTAATGACATTTTGAATCATTTGCAGACTCACATTTGTTTACCTCTTCCCTGTGTCTCCGCTCATGTCCCTCTCTTCCAAAACTAATACCTTTCACAGGGTGGGAAAACAGATCTGAATGCCATAGAAAATATTTCATGTATTTTTCTGTGATCAAATATTAAAGGTTTGTAATGGCTCTGATTTTTGCGATGTTTTTGTTATATCAAATATTTTTTAAAAGCTCATCTATTTATGTTATTGTTATTTTCACTTAACAGAATATTTTACTTCGCAAGGAAAGTTTATGTTACTGCTTTATTTTGTCTCCATGTCAGTTTTTTCGGAGGAACTTTATTTTCCCGTATTTTAATAAAAACCAGGGAAATAGGACTTATTATACTGACATTCACTTGATAGGCACCATTCAAGAATGTATCAGTTGCATAAAGTGAGAGAGTTGTACTGAGATGTTCGGGCCTTTTTCTATCTTCTGGATTTTAAAAACAAAAAAATTAAATGAACTTGTATTCAAATGTATTTAGTAGTGTTCTGACAGTTGTATAATCTAGTGCATTATTTCTGTATCTCAGGAAGCTGAATATGGTGGGCATGATCAGATAGATTTATATGATGATGTCATCTCTCCATCTGCAAATAATGGGGATGCCCCAGAAGATCGGGATTACATGGATACTCTCCCACCAACTGTTGGCGATGATGTGGGTAAAGGAGCAGCACCAAATGTAGTCTATACGTATACTGGGAAGAGAATTGCATTGTATATTGGCAATTTAACATGGGTAAGTAAAATTAGTGAATTAAATTACTGGTAATTGATTCTCGACTTGAGTGGTGACTGTTTTTCTCCAGTTTTTTTTAAAATATAAAGTTGAGGTTATTTGGTGTGTTTTCTACATGCTTGTGTATGTGGTGAGGAGGGCACTATAAATACCTCTAAATCCAATTCTTCTTGTTTCCATTTTGTGGTCTTTCAATTTATGATATTAATTATCATAATTCTATTGTTTTATCATAATGCTATTGTTTTGTCCTCAAATAAATAACCTGTTTTACCTTACTACTCCTACCTCACTTCAGATATCCCAGTTTTACTAAGAAAGATGATTGCATATGCTCTCAAACCAGGATCCAGAAATGTAGGAGAGAAAGAAATACAATACCAATCCCGGTTTAAAAACAGTTTTCATTTTCTAGTTCATATTACAGCGTTGTTGAGTTTTATTTCTCTTAAGATTGAAATCAGATTTTTAGATATATACTACTGTATGCATTGTGTTTTAGTTTGGGTTGTTCGTGACACTACAAATAAGATTGGTTGGAAATGTCATTAACTGCTTGTTCAATGTATCTATTTTTATTAGCATTCAATCTTAAATATTCATTGAAACAATCCTGCAGAATCCTTATCTCTACTTAGAAACATTTGCTGCATATACTTGAAAATTACGAAATTTTATGTCTCAGAGGCAAAATAAATCTTGTCAACTTTCCCTTCTTTCATAGCATTTTATTTTAAAATGTCCTATTTAAATATTTTAAAACTAATTGTGACCAATTTCCTATACCCAGTCTCAGCAGTCTTTATAATATTGGAGATAGTAGTAGTATAGTTCTGGAGTATTGATTCTAAATAAGAATTTAAGCTTCCTCCATCTTAGTTTTGTGGCCTTGGGCAAGCTCTTTAACCTCTTCGTTGCAAATATGTAGGATGAGAATACTACATTTAAAGGATTGTTTTAAGACTTAAGAATTAGTCAATATGAAGTAAATGATAATTACCTAATACATTATTTTTGCTTTCTTTCCATCATATCAAATATAAGATAGAATTTATATCACAAAATATTTCCTTTAAAGAAAGGAAGGGACAATTGAGGTTGGTTTTACTGAAAATTTAAATTACTGACAATTTAAAATTACAGCAAAGTTGGAAGGGACCAGAAACTCTTAAGAATAAAACATCTGTTTTCAAGGTTATATACCTCCTATTTTATGAAACTCTTAGCAGGAAAGATGTTATAGGTACTTATGTGCTATTTAGAAATTGGAGGCTGAGTGGCAATAACTGTACTTGAATTTTCACTGAGCATTAATTTTGTTACTTACTCTGAGTTTACCCATAAAATCTAAATTGAAATGATGATTATGATTAATTATCGTTAATGAGAGATAAATATCTTTCAGTGGACAACAGATGAAGACTTAACTGAAGCAGTTCACTCTTTGGGAGTAAATGATATTTTAGAGATAAAATTTTTTGAAAATCGGGCAAATGGACAGTCAAAGGGGTAAGTTTTTTTCCTTCTTGTTTTTTTACTAATATAAGTTAGTAGCCGAGGAGCCCTGGTGATGCAGTGGTTAAAGTGCTCAGCTGCTAACCAAAAGGTCAGTGCTTTGAATCCACCAGCCACTGTGGGAGAAAGATGAGGCAGTCTGCTTCAGTAAAGATTTCCATCCTTGGAAACCCTATAGGTCAATTCTACTGTGCCCTGTAGGGTTGTTGAGAGTTGGAATCGACTCAGCTGCAGTAGGGTTGGGTTTTTTGGTTTAGTAATAATTTTTTTATATAACTTTTGGTAAAGGTTTCCGCTAGTTGCACACGTATCTTGTACCCTTGATTATCCACATTAGGAGGTTCTTGGGCAAAGATTCATACTGTAATATCCTGTAATCCAGCTCACTAAAGTTAGTGGTGCTGAAGGCTTAGACAATAGAGTGGTTCTAATTTTCCCTGAATTTTCTATCTGTGGTTGAAATTATTGTTTGAAGTGACAGTTTAAAGAAGCGCTGCTATTTCTATGAATAAGGGAGGGGGCAAGATGGACAACTAGAGAGTAATGTAAGCAACTTAGAATATTTGCTTTATATTAAACTATATAAATATAAGTTAAGTTATATCTTAACTAATATAAAGTAAGTTTAATAGTATAAAATTTTAATGTATCGTCAGATGTAGATTTTGGATTTTTATTTTTTAAGATAAATTGCTAGACACAGAATGCTAAAATAAAGAACATGCTTATATTATATTGCTCAGTTCTCCAAAAAGGTTTTTACCTCACTAAGAAAATATTGTTACACTAAGCTAAGAATATTTTCAAAATGTCTGTAGAATCTGACCACTTCTCAACCACCTTCACTTTTACCCACGTATTCTAAGCCACCATCATCTCTCGTGAACTTTGGCAGTAGCCTCCTTTTTTCACTTTAATCCCTTAGTCATTCTCCATATACTAGCAGCTTTTTTTGTTTTTGTTTTTTAATGTGGCATCATATACTTTGCTCAAAATCTTATGGCTTTCTGTTTCTGTAAGAACCAGAATCTTTACCATAGCCCACAATGCACAGAATGATGTTTCCCCACCACCTCTCTGATCTTATCTCCTAGATCTCTTCCCCTTTCTTACACTGCTTGAGCTGCATAAGTCTTGTTTTCCTCAAATACATTCCTGTTTAGGACCTTTGCACCTGTTTAGCCTTCTTGGTTTACTTTTCTCCAGAATATCAACATGGCTCACACCTCACTTTATTCAGGACTCTCTTAAGAGTTCCCTTCCCTGACACCTTCCCTGACTACAATAGTACTTTCTGTTCCCATCTCTCTTTCTTTTTTCCTGTAGTTTATTTTGCTTGTTTTAAGATGATCACATGCTTTGACAGTATCAAATTGTTAGTTTTAAAATGTTTGCTCTCACTTTCTGAATTTCTGATTGGCATTGGTGCAAGAACTATATATTAAGTAACACTGACCTAGAGTAATGCCTGGCACATAGTGAAACCCTTTGCTGTCCAGTCAGTTCCAGCTCATAGGTGAACCCATCTGTTACAGAGTACAACTGCTCCATAGGACTTTCTTGGCTGTAAGCTTTCACAAAGCAAATCACCAGGCCTTTTTTCCATGATGTCACTGGGTGAATTTAAACCACCAACCTTTAGATTAGTCACACAAAAAAACTTAGTGCTGTCAAGTAGATTCCAACTCCCCGCCACCATATAGGACACAGTATAGCTGCCCGCGTAAGGTTTTCTGTACTGTAAATCTTTACGGGAGTAGACTGCCACATCTTTCTTCACATAAAACAACTGGTAGGTTCCAGCCACTACCTTTTTTGGTTAGCAGTTGAGCACTTTAATGACGCCACCACCCAGACTCTCTTAGATTAATGGTCAAGCACAAACTTGGTGCTCAAGTGTATGGGAAGAATGGATGTAAATGAATCTGAACCTCACTTAACTGCTGCATTAAAAATAGCTACATAATACCATTGGCATCTTCCTGCTTGAGTCTACTTGATAAAGGAAGCAAACAAGCAGTTATGATCTTACTTCTTTTTATTATGATAAATGTATTTGTTCAGCAATCAGTTGTGTGTTCAAATAATGCTTAGAAGATTTGTACATGCTGATTATTAAAAATATTGAGATCAGAGGCTACTCTGTAGAAAAATGTTGATAAATTATAGCTTAATCTCTTAAAGTAGAAGATGCTTCTTACATTGATAATGATTTTGGAAAAAATGACAGCTGATAATCCATGAATCTTCTAGTCTTCACATTGTAGCAAATTAGGTCTTGAAAGAAATTGATGCCATTTTTTGCATTCCTTCTTAGTTTTGAGGATACTTGGATGTTTGGTTTGTTAGAATCACAAATTTGGTATTTGGTATCTTTCTGGTGTTAACAAGGAGTTTAAAGTAGGATGAAATTTTGTGGAAAGCTTTTTCAGCAGTGGCATGAGTTAGTTGCTACATAGGTTATTATTAATTGTTACATTATTATTGTCACTAGTGCCTAAGGCATTTGACTGCTAACCAGAAAGTTGATAGTTCAAACCTACCAGGGAGACAGGACAGAAACCCAGTGGGGATTGCTGTGAGTCAGAATTGACTCAAGGCAGTGGGTTTGGTTTTTAGTTTTAAGAAAGAACTGTCATTTATAAAGTCATTATAGTCATTAAGCCTTTAAGGCCTTCATGCTTTCATTATGATTTCTTTAATAACATTCAGTTTATTCTCTGCAGGCTTTTTTATAAATTATTTGCACAAAGAAGTAGATTTTATTTTATGAACTCTAGTAATTTTTTTCTTTTTGTTGGCCACTTTACTTGTTATCTACATAACCAATTATGAGAACACAAAATAAAATTCACTTGGACCTTGAGAGAGATATCTAACATGCTTCTAAAAATGTTACACAAGTAATACATTGTGAAGATTTTAAAAATGAAAGAGAAGGTTAAAATTCCCTTCCCTGTTAGCTTTTTGGTATACTACTTTCCCCTCCACCTTCCAACTCCCTGGAGGGAGGTAATCATTTTCACTGTTAATAGTTTGTATGTCCTAGCCCTTTTTTTCTAAGCATTTTAAAGTATGTTTATAATATGATAGTTACATTCCCCCTGCCCAACATAAATACTATGTCCTAAAGATTTTGTTGCCAGTTACAGATCTACTTTTTTAATATTAAGGTATTTAGTTTACTGATCGTTCCATGTTAATGGTACCTATCTGCTTTGGAAGAGTTCACGAGTTAAGGGAGCAAGGAAGCAACTCATGGGGGGGGGGTACAGCATGTTGAATGGTTCAGGAGCAGCACAGGGAGGAACTGACTGATATTCTCTCATAGTTGAATATAGTGCTTCAATAAGAACACAGGCTCTGGAGACCAACTTCATGGGTTCAGATTCTGACTCTGCTATTCAGTAGATACGTGCCTTGAAGAACAAATTATATACTTTTTGTGCCTTAATTTTTCTCATATAAAAAATACAAGCAGAATAAGCCTGTAAGTTGCCAACATGAAAAACCTAGGTACCATTGAGTCAATTCTGACTCGTGGCAAACCCACATGTGTCGGTAGAACTGTGCTCCATGAGCTTTTCATTGGCTGATTTTTCAGAAGTAGATCACCAGGCCTTTCTTTTGAGGTACCTCTGGGTGGACTTGAACTTTCAACCTTTTGGTTAGCAACTGAATATGTTTGCACCATCCAGATGTCATAATGTTAGTTTGCTTAAAAATAATCACTCAGAAAATAAACTATTGTGAGTGTTATAGACATAATTGTAATTGTTTGTTGTTGTTGTTGTTGTTATGTGCTGTCGAGTCAGACCCGACTCATAGCGACCCCTCTTTGGGTTTCTGAGTCAGTATCACTATGGAAGTAGATTGCCTCATCTTCCTTCCGAGGAGTGGCTGGTGGGTTTGAACGCCAGCCTTCTGGTTAGCAGTCAGATGCCTTAGGCACTATTACACCAGAGCTCCTATAATTCTAATTGTAATTAGGCTTTTCTAATTTTCTGTCTTGTAACCCTAAACAGAAAATAATTGATAGGTCCTTTCAGTTGCACATATTGTTGAAGATAAAGGGAGATGGAAAATCACATTCCTTGTAAACCTTAACAAGTATAGCATTCTGAGGCTTTCCACCGTGTATGGAGTGAAGGCTTAGATAGGAGGCATCTCTGCTCACCTCATTAACCCCTGGGGTGAATTATAGTGCAGGATTATGAGTTGTATTCACTATACTCTAATTTAGAATAATAGGGATGTAAGTAGCTAGGGTAAAATTTTTAAGCTTTAGCAATGAGGAAGTAAATTTCCATTATCTGGACATATTACTAGTCTTACATTACATTAAGAAAAAATTGTGTTCTCATAAGAAAACATAAGCAGGTATCTTCATGACCTTGGATTAGGCAGTAGCTTTTTAGATATGACACCCAAATCACAAACAACAAAAGAATAAATTGGAAATCTCCCCCCCCCAAAAAAATAAAACTTTGTGCCCTTTTCCAAAGTGAAGAAGAATGAAGAAAACCAAAGATGCATGGAAACCATAAGACCAGAAGAGCTAGATGGTGCCCAGCTACCACTATCAACCACTTGGAAAGGGATCAGTACAGGAGTTCCTGGATAGAGTGGGAAAAGAATGTGGAACAAAATTTAAAATCATAAAATAAAACCAGGCTTCCTGGTCTGATAGGCTGATGATCCTCCTTCAGGCCTGAAATCAAACTCCTATGGCATCCAGCCAAACAATAAACAGGCATATAAGGTGAACATTTACACCACATAGGTACACCCTTAGAACAATCAGTCATGGGCAATCAGAAGGGCAGTATTTGCACAGGGAAATAGCTCAGAGGGCAGGAATTCATAGGAAAGAAGGACACAGGGAAAAGGTAACTATAGGGAGGAAGTGGGAAAAATGCTGTTATGTTATGGGGATTGCAGTCAACGTCATGAAACAAAATGTGTATGAACTACTGTGTGGAAAGTGAATTTGCTCTGTGAACTTTCACCTAAATCACAATTTTTAAAAATGTTAAGAAGGAAAAAATACTTTTGTGCTTCAAAGGACCTATCAAGAAAGGGAAATGACAACCCATAGAATGTGAGAAGAGTTGTGCAAATCGTGTATCTGCTAAGAAACTTATATCTAGGATATATAAAGAGTTCTTCCAACTCAGTAATAAAACACAACTCAAAAAATGGATAAAGGATCTGAGTAGATGGTTTACCAAAGAAGATAGACAAATGGCCATTAAGCAAATGAAAAGATGCTCAGCATGATTACCCATCTGGAAAACGTGTGTTAAAACCACAATGAGATGCCACTTCATACCCACTAGGATGGCTGTGATCAAAAAGACAGATAATAACAAGTGTAAGCAATGATGTGGGGAAATTGAAACCTTTATACATTGCTAGTAGGAATGTAAAATTGTGTAACCACTTTGGACAACAGTCTTGCAGTCCTTCTAAAGGTTAAACACGGAGTTATCATGTTGTTGTTGTTGTTATGTGCTGTCAAGTCGGCCCCGACTCATAGCAACCCCTCCTTGGGTTTCCGAGGCAGTATCACTACGGAAGTAGGATTGCCCAACCAATTCCACTCATAGGTATATACCTAAGAAATGAAAGCATTCAGAAATTTTTCACAGATGTTCATAGAAGCATTAATCATAATAACCGAAAAGTGGAAACAACCCAAAGGTCCATAAACAGATGGATGGATAAATAAAATATGGTATATCCATACCATATAATCTGTTAACTAAGAGAAATGAATTGTTGATAAATGCTGTTACATGGATGAATCTTAAACACCATGCTAAGTGAAAGAAGCCAGGTAAAAGCAGAAAGAAGCCATATATATTGTGTAATTCCATTTATATGAAATGCCCAGAATAGAGAAATCCATAGAAACAAAGTAGATTAGAGGTTCTGTAGGGCTGGAAGAGAAAATCGGGAATGACTACTACTGGGTGCAGTTTCTTTTGGGGAGCAATGAATGTATTCTAAATTGATTATGGTGATGGTTGTAAAACTGAATATACTAAAAACTATTGAATTGTGCACAGTTTTATAAAAAAAAATTGTGAAGTTGTACAGCTTTACTATAAGAAGTATTTTCACATTTTTTATTCTCACCCCTTTAAAATGTTTCAGATTTGCCCTCGTTGGTGTTGGATCTGAAGCATCCTCAAAAAAGTTAATGGATCTGTTGCCTAAAAGAGAACTACATGGTCAGAATCCTGTTGTAACTCCATGCAATAAACAGTTCCTGAGTCAATTTGAAATGCAGTCTAGGAAAAGTAAGCTATCCATCAGAGGCTTTTATTAAAAGATGCATATTTTAACTAATATTTTGCTAACATTTGTAGGTGTTGTACTTGGGAAGTCATCTTAATATGTAGTTCATTGGGAAGTTTCTTAGAAAGTACATGCTTTGAGTTTTGAGTTAATTTACTGCTTATGATTGTGTACCTATGTACTAGAAGCCTTCCATTTTCCTCTGGATGTCACTGACTCAATACTATGCTACGTTGTGCAAGTTCTTTAGTCATTGTGTTCTTAGCAAAAAGAAGGGACTACATTCTAGTCCTTGAATTTAAGGAAAGTTAGATGGATGTGTGTTATGTTTGGGGAGAGAACACTGATAACCAGAAAGTATTGGTTGATTTTTCTGCTTGGCAGCAAGACCTTTCACCACTTGGTAAAGTGAATATGGAAAAGATTTGCAGTTAACATACTTATGAATGTTATCATTTAAAGAGATAAGATGGATGATCATGTAATTAACAGAAATTCAAGTGGTTGTTTTTCTTTTAATGTTTTAGCACTTAAGACTTAACTGAAGAATATGTTACAAAATTTAAATGATCTATGCTACTGAAATTAAGATTTCTGTTGAAGAATTTCGGTCTTGGCTGCTGCAAAGTACTGGTATTTTGAAAGTAACCCCTGTTTACTCATTGGATATACATTTATTTAAATCTGGATTTTGAGACATCAGAAGAACTTTAATAGATGTGAATATTTTCCTAGTGAATACATCTCATGTAGTTTGCACAGGCCCAAGGCATCTGCAAGTTAATATATAGTGCAAATGGAGTTTGAAATAGAATTGTTCCTAGTAACAGTGGTTACATTTCAGAGAATTATTTTAATAAGTGCTATTTATGAGTATTTGGATATTTGCAGCTACACAATCAGGACAAATGTCTGGGGAAGGTAAAGCTGGTCCTCCAGGAGGCAGTTCACGTGCAGCATTTCCACAAGGTGGTAGAGGACGGGGCCGTTTTCCAGGGGCTGTTCCCGGTGGGGACAGATTTCCTGGGCCAGCAGGACCAGGAGGGCCACCCCCACCTTTTCCAGGTAAAAATTTTCTTAAATTACCATGGATAAAACATGTCTACCTAATGCCTCTTTTCCTTTTCTCTCTTTTTCAAGTAATGCATTATTAATGTGACTTACTCTCCTTGTTATGCTATTTTTGGAATCCAGGAAATTTGATCAAGCATCTTGTTAAAGGAACTCGGCCTTTGTTCCTGGAAACTAGGATTCCATGGCATATGGGGCACAGCATAGAGGAAATACCCATTTTTGGCCTAAAAGGTCTTTATTTTTCTCCAAACTTGCTTGACTTATATATAGAATATTTACATCCGTCTTATTTTCTTACCTCTTAAAAAATCCTTTCAAGACCAATTTTCCTTGTTTCACTTTCTAGCTTGGCATCAGAGTAGAATATAAGGTGGGTGATTTCACTGTAAGAAGTGTGTGTACACTGAAAGATGGAAAATATATCTAAGCTTTGTAATCTTAATTAAAGTTTTATTTTAATAATTTTTCTTAAGCGTAAATTGAGCTAGTTAAATTTGTAAGAATATACACCACCTGTGTAGTTGCTAGTATAGCATTTACCATATGGGTTTCATTTAAAGAGAAAGAATCTTGGTCTATGGGTTATGCTTTAAGAATAATCTTGGCATAAAAGTTAAAATATCTTATTGAAGTGTTTTTTCCCCCCCTCCTCTCTGTCTCTCTCTCTGCTTCATTCTGTAGCTGGACAGACTCCACCACGTCCACCATTAGGTCCTCCAGGACCACCGGGTCCACCAGGTCCTCCACCTCCTGGTCAGGTTCTGCCTCCTCCGCTAGCTGGGCCTCCTAATCGAGGAGATCGCCCTCCACCACCAGTTCTTTTTCCTGGACAACCATTTGGGCAGCCTCCATTGGGTCCACTTCCTCCTGGTCCTCCACCTCCAGTTCCAGGCTACGGCCCCCCTCCTGGTCCACCACCTCCACAACAAGGACCACCTCCACCTCCAGGCCCCTTTCCACCTCGCCCACCTGGCCCGCTCGGGCCACCTCTTACACTTGCTCCTCCTCCACATCTTCCTGGACCACCACCAGGTGCCCCGCCACCAGCTCCACATGTGAACCCAGCTTTCTTTCCTCCACCAACTAACAGCGGCATGCCTACATCAGATAGCCGGGGTCCACCACCAACAGACCCATATGGCCGACCTCCACCATATGATAGGGGTGACTATGGGCCCCCTGGAAGGTAAGTTAGTATTTAGCTATGAAAGTAAATTCAGTATTTTTGATTGGTAAAAGATAATCTATCACTAAAATGAAACTCAGTGCCATCGAGTCGATTCGACTCATAGCGACCCCTCCTTGGGTTTCCGAGACAGTTATCTCTATGGAATTAGATTGCCCAGTTTTCCTTCTGAGGAGTGGCTGGTAGGTGTGAACCACCTGGCCTTTTCCCAGGATATTTGTTTGTCTTGTTTTCTCTTGCACTTGAAAGAGGCAGCATGTTTCCATGAAAATACTGAACAGGAATAATCCCGGCTCTGCCATTTATGTAGCCATGGGATTTAAGAGGTTAATAAAGATAATGTAAGATAGTAAATGGATCCTTGAGCAATTTTCAAGATTTTAGAGTCTAGGTCTCATTTTCTACTGGTGTGTACACAGACAACTAAAGGTTCTTTACTATTGATTACATGTTGCTAGTCAGGAGTTCTGAGTAGCAGATTACTAACTTTTTTGTTGTTCTAGTTCTAATGTGCTTTTTTAAAACTTGTGGTAAAATATACATAATAAACATTTGCCATTTCAGCCATTTTTATGTGTGACATTAATTACGTTCCCCATGTGCAACCATCACTATCACCCATTTTCAGTTTTTTCACTACCCTTAACAAACTCAGCACCCTTCAGTAGTAAGGGAAGTGCTTGTCATTATTACAGACCCAAGGCATCAGTACATTTTATTGTGTCATAAAGTCTACTGAGTTACCTGTTCATAGAGGTTGTATCTTTATGACTGCCAAGAAATGTTTCCCTTTCTTTGGAAAAACACTTTAACTGAGAGCCTAGTATAACTTTTCTTCTGTTTACTTTAATTTCAAAAAGCAGCAATGTATCAAGTATTTAAGCTTACCGTATAGAAATATGGTATGTGACTTGATTGGAAATTTTCGTGTGACATCCTTTCCTTAACATAATACAGATCTATAATTTTAAGTTTTCAAGAATGGTTTAATTATTGCAGACTTTTTAAAATTGAAAATTGG